TTGTGTTTGTCTTGAACTTGATCCAACATCCCATCTTCAGAGTGTGAGAAGATTCAGTCCCATGTTCCTCTTCCAAGCTAACGAAATTGGATATCTCAAATGATTGAGATATGAGAAATTCAGGAAAGTGCCGTGGAGCCTGAAAGCTTCTAATTTGTTTCTTGGCTCCCTTGATTGAGAATCCATGCACCAACATATGCATCCACTTTATAATCTGGGATAGCTGAGCACAACCAAGAAGATTTCAGATGATGAGTTTTAAATTTGGCTTGATGTAGCTCATAGAAAAAATTGTGGAAACAATGAAAATGGATGGTTTCTTGTTACAATACAAACCAGCCTCAAGCTGAACCTGCCTTGATTTCCAGCTTGCTAAAACCCTTGGATAGTCCACCAGGCTTTCATGCAATTATCCAAATATTGGAATAGCTCAAGATGTTCCACCAGATTCTCCCAAGAAGGGGGATCCAAATCAACATTGTCTATTGATTATCAACTTACCCAAGTTATTTATATCCCCACACATCCAAGTTTTGAATGTATTTAGTATTGATCTCTCCTTTGATTTATCATTTATTAGAATTTTGCTTACTTCTACCCCCTGGAGATGGAAGCAGTGATTGAAGCTACAGTTTTCTAAATCCATGCATCCATCTCTGGTAGAAATGAGCAACATTCTGGTTTGGAGCACCCCCACTAATAACTGATAAACCAAAGGAGAGAGAAATACTAAATACCTTCAAAACTTGGAAGTGTGGGGATAGAAAACACACCATAAACAATGTTCTGTAAAGATCCCCTGCATAGAGAAAAGGTGTGTGAGCCGGATAAACCAAAAAAAAGTGAGGCAGAAACAAGTGTTTTTGTGAATCATCAAAAATTTCTACATTGCCCAGAGAGACCATTTGGTATTCAGATTTCAACATTCCATGAGCCTCTTCAATTGCCACATATTGATTGTCAGCCTTAGAGATCCTCAAGAGTATCCAAAAGACTGCTTAATAATATATTACTTGTAATAATAATAAGAAAACCTAGAATATTATTGTATAAATGAACTTTTCATAATATTTCAGAGGGGGTTGCTCACTGGAACCATCCCCAAATTCCTACTCCTTCTAGGACTTTGTCATAACTCAAGAGCCTCAGAGGTTAGTAGGAATAAAAGTATAAAACACCTTAAAAAGATTATAAAATAAAGATAAAAACAAATATTAAATTTATAGTTACAACCATAAATTGAAACTATAACCCAAAGTGTAGAAATTACCACCTTTGTTAAGTGTGTGGTAATTTCCATCAGTATTATTCTATTATAAGTAGACACATGATGTAATTGGCTATAACAATGCATCATGATGTCATGGGGACATAGATAATACTGTATTTAATCTACTACAATATTCTCATTACATCATGAGAGAACTACTATTGTAGTACATTAAATAAACATTCTAGAATATTCTAAGAATGCCCCCAAGGGGGACTCTAGAATATAAAAGGAGGCCATTCCTGGCCTAAGATTGGTTCCTCAGCATATTCACCCACAACACACTTAGTAAGTACAGTGAATATTCTCCTCCTACTTTTAGAGTAGTCATCCCAATCCCAATCTTCCTTTTACTACTGGAATTATTGGTGTGTAACTTTGAAATTCCCCTTTCATCCCTCACTAAAATTCCTTATAAAGCAGTTGCTGCAAGACTACCACCTCTGAAAAGTAGCCAATCAGCTCAAGTGCTTGCCAGCTGCTTCTTAGCAATTATTATTGCTATAAAATCCAAACTATAACAATTTATTAATTGTTATAATCTCCTGTTATTTGGTTCATTAGAAACAAATAAGCTTAAAGGAGTGTGGACTTAAACTTTGTGGAATTTGGACCACATATAAAGGGTGAAAAAGAGTAATCTTTTTCTTTGATAGTCCTTTAGCACAGTGATAGCACCTGGTTTTTATATTATTTAAACCAGTGTAGCATACACAGAGCTGACATTGATTATACTCAGGGATGTGATACTGTTGAAATTGCAGAATGTTTTCTGCTGTTGAGACTCTGTTGTATTGCGTAAATTTTCTCTTTGGTGCTGAAGTTATGAATGGGTTGGAGTGAGTACTGGAGGACAAGGTGTTATCCAACAAATAATGTCCATGAAGATCATGTCCATAGGCAGTTCAATTTGTATAAGCACTGCATGGCAAGCATGTAATGGAGGGCCCTATAACAGAGAGAAGTGAAGATGATGTTCAGAGGCATTCAAGAATTCTAATCTGTGAGAAATCTGAGCTCAGAATAAGAGAGAAGGTTTTTGAACGGACTCAGGTGTCACTTTTTGAAGGGCAAAAAAGTGGTCAAACTCAAATTATGAGGAGAACCAATGGTTTTTAATTTCTTGTACTAGGCTAGGTTAAAATAGACTAGGTACAAGAGTTTGAGTTGTGGTTGTGAACCAGATGAATAAAAAGGAAAATGAATAGAAATAAAAGGAACAATCAAGAGTGAACAAGAGGGTACAACAACAAGCACCAGGAATGGAGTATCTCTAACCAAGAAGATAAGCAAACATTACTGAGAGAAAATAAGCCCTCCTTGATCAGGGTTCTATGACTACAAGTCAGGGGGTCAGATTTCATAACAAAATGATGAGACAGACTATAATGGGGAAGATCTTATAACGGTGAAAGAGTAGATCCAAGTGATCACTAAGATTGGGGTTGAGGCAGAAGTAAGAAAAATAGAAGAAAGGAAGGGAACAGAGAAGAAATTCCAACATAATCCCACCATATTTGTTTTGTAAAAACTTTCACTTACCAGTGGTGACTGCTTCACCCCCAAAATTAATGTACATCAGCTCTCTAATGTGTCCTGTGTTACTTTAGTTTGATGGTTGCAAGAGATTGCAATGTTGATATTGTTGAGCTTGCCAATATATTGGGCTGTTTAAATCCAATCTAAACATCTAAATACGCGGCCGATGGATTTTGCTGCACCACCGATGGGCCATGGCCAAATTCAACTCTGGCTTCAATCCAAAAAAGAAAATGAGGAAATTATGATGGGTTGTCAGTCAGAGGGTAGGGAACCAAAGAAGAACCAAGATGTAACATCACATGGTGGAGAGGAGTGAAAGAGTGACCTGACAAAGTGACTCAATGCCAGCCAAATGCTCTGGGGAGAGAAGAGGCCAGACCATTCAACCTCAAGCAGTATGATTAAACAGCTGATCAATTCCAGCAGCGGATTGGCTTTGAGATCTATACACATCATCGCCAAAAAAATAGAAATAAAAAAGCATCAAGAGTATATCTTGGCTGAATAACATGCATGAAAAAGGAAAACAGCATAATCAGAAAACTACAAAGCAGCACATTTCAAACAAGCGACACTCATATCAAGCCAAATCTTAAACTGCTCGAGACGACTGGTAGGATCGATGGGCAAGTTCAGTTTGATTAAGGATTCAGATGACAACTTGACAATGGCTGATCGGGCGGTAGCAAACACGGTGGCCATAGTGATAAATCTGTCCGGAATGCTTTCTTCGAGGTCGGATCCAGCGGCAGAAAGGTGCTAACAAGCTTCTGAGTCCAATTTTGTAGGCCGTTGCATTGAAGCACAAATGACACCACTCGAACTCTTCCAGGTAAGGGGCTAGAAAGACGACTGATCACTCCTGGGTTGGCAATCAGTTCCGTAGTTCAGCATAATGACTATGGTTGAACTGGCTGCTGAAATACATACGTCGATAGGCCACTGGAGCCATAGAAATTTGTGCTTGGAACTGGTGGCGCATTCTGGTCTAGCTGACGCTGGCGACGGACCTCATTAAGGGACCCAAAGGATCGAGGTTGGATGAGATTGAGTTTTGGGAGGTATTTGTTCGATATCTTTAGCTAATGGTGCAGCATATTTACATACCTTTTCAAAAATTGGAAAGGCGTGACTAAGCTCAGATGAGTCCGAACTGCAGGTCAAGAACCTAGATAGCATGCCACTGGCAGTGGCCAGCAAGATTTAATTCTGATCAAAGACGATCAAGATGCTTTTCAACAATCGATTAATGATTTAGGCCGTGTTTATTATTTCATGAGAAATAACAATTCAGAAGACATACATGATACTATCCATATCTATTGCCAATTGATGAGAGACATCATTGGTGCCTAAGGTGGGGCTTGTGCCGCTAGGTGGATGATTGATGAAGAGGGTGAATGTATGTTCCAAGTGATCCGACTGTTGCCGTAGGACCTTGAGTTCTTCGGATGATCGACTGAAGCATCTTCATCCTCCTCGTCCAACAAACGGCTATCAAGGAGTCAGTTGAATCCAAATCGAATCGGATCATAAATGTAAAACAACAGAAAGCAGCAGATTTGTCTACTGACGTCGGTTGGTCACCAGAAGAATAACACAGATCGGCTTTTGCAAACCGCACATGGCTTCAACGAGTCGTACTTTGTTAGAATAGCAAAACTAAAGTAATATTTCAAGTCAGGATCATAATAGGACGATGAGACGAGAAAAACAAGAATGGGCTGCCTTACCTAAAGGGCAGGGGTAGGCAGACAGAGTATGAAAAAGGAAGACAGAGAGGTAGACACGAAAAGGGTCGCTCAAAAGAATATAGGAACAAGAAGAAGTGATGAGGTCGTAAGTGTGACAAGAGAAGATAAAAGATGCAAAGTTTTGACAAGAAGAGCGCTTATAGCGATGTGTGGAGAGAGTAAGAAGGGGTGAGAAGATAAAAGCGCGGAACGAGGTCGTCGCGAGTTTATTGTGATAAGGAGAAGGAAAAGTGTTTTGGGCTTTGGGTATGATTGAGGTATGAGGAAGTTGATCTGCGAATGGATTTCTAATCAAGGAGTCGCGGATGGGGACGAAGACAGGATGAAGCAAAGAGGTTAACTTATAGCTTCTCATGAGCTTTGATTTCATCCGTTTGACTCACGGGTATGCCTGGGCCAGTTCATCGTGTTCACACCTCCATCAAGGAGGTGTGTACGGTATCCTGCGCCTGGTTAGGGTCGACTTGTATTCCTTCCTGTGCCTCGATGTCTGTGACATCGGTATTCAGGGTGCAATTTTGTGGATTAGTCTAAGTTGTAACTTCACAGGTCAGGAGCCGAGGCCCAGCCTGGTTTAGTCCAAAAAGGGAGAAGATCAAACTTACGATCAAAGACTTGCTTGAGTAGTCTACTGGTGGCATTGGTTACCGTGCAGGGGTCTGTATCTTGACAGGCTGACATGCTTTGTGCTTGAAAGCACGAAGCAGAAATGCTGTTGACATCGGCTGTGAGTTTCTGAAGTGCTCGTCTGATGTTGGTGCGGCCTACAGGTTTGGTGAGGTAATCGGATGTGTTTTGAGACGATGGGACAAATTGTAGACGGAAGACCTTGTCTTGGATGAGATCTCGGACAAAATGGAGACGGAGATCCATGTGTTTGGTTCTGAATCCATTCTGACTGGTTTGACTGAGCGCGAGGTCGATTGCTCCTTGATTGTCCACGAGGATAGTGATCGGGGAGGTGTCCGAAAGGAGGGAAACTTCCTTCATGAGGTTGTTGAGCCAAATGACTTCCTTCCCAACATCGGCTAGGGCCTTGTACTCGGCTTCAGTCGAGGAAAGGGAAACAGTGCACTGTTTGGTCGACTTCCAGGAGATCAGATGGGAGTTCCATGAGATCATGTAGCCGGTGTGAGACCGCCTGGTGTCTGGGCAGTTGGCCCAGTCGGCATCGACCGATGCGAACAACGGAGACGTTTTCGCATATCCGAACAGTAGGCCTCGACCAATTGTTCCTTTTAGGTAACGAAAGACTTGCATGGCGGCCTTGTAATGTGAGAGACCAGGGTTTTCTAAGAACTGAGATAGCTTGCTAACCGCAAAGGATATGTCAGGCCGAGTAAGAATACTGAGATAGTTTAGAGAGCCGATTATCGCTCTGTAGTTGATGTTCAGTGGTTGGAGTTGCTGAATGTCTGAAAGGGATGCTTTGGAGAGATGAGACCGCGGGTCAAGAGGGCAGGAAGCACTGTGAAGCTGAGTGACTTCGAATTCGACTAACTTTCGCTCGATATATTGAGTTTGGTTGAGAATGAGGCCATCAGAGTGACGGTCAAGCTTCATCCCTAGGAGGAAGGAGGCCTCACCCATGTATTTGATGGAAAATTCTTTTGATATCTCGTCCCGGAAGAATTCAGGGTCCTGTCCAACGATGATGAGATCGTCGACATGAGCGAAGATCCAGAGAGGGGTCGGGGAGATACGCCAGAAGATGCAGGGATCCGCAAGAGAGGTGCTGAAGCCAATGGAGGAAAGGAAACGACTGAGACGTTTGTACCAGGCCAATGAAGCTTGCTTCAGGCCATAGATCGTCTTCTTCAGTTGCAGGACGACATCCTCACCCGTCTTGTAACCTGGAGGAGGGAGCATGTAGACAGTCTCTTCAAGCTCGCAGGTGAGAAACGCGCTTTTCACATCGAGCTGGTGAATCTTGTAGCCGTGGGTGACCGCATGAGAGAGAAGCATCCGAAGAGAGGAGGGCTTGCCAGTGGGAGCATACTTCATGTCGAAGTTGAGTCCATAGGTTTGTCGAAAACCTTGAGCGCATATCCGAGCTTTGTATTCGACGACCTGATTGTCGACACCAAGCTTCTTTTTGTATGCCCAGGTTGATGGGATGCACGAGTGAGCCGCTAGTCGAGGGATTTCAATCCAGACGTTGTGTTCATGCATGTTCTCAATCTCTTTCTTCTCAGCTGCAAGCCACTGATCCTTGTCATCGCTTCGTAGAGCCTGGAAGTGATTCTTGGGTTCCACCATGGTGACCAAGTATGAAGCGGCTTGTCTGCGAGATCGGGCCATGATGTTGTCAGGATTGATGTCGCTGGTGACTCTAGTCGGGTGAGGACCGAGACGAAGGATGAGCCTGCGAGGTGGTCGAGAAGGTTCAGCTTCTGCCATCTCGGTGTCCGAGTCAGAGGGTCCATCTACCTCGTCTTCTTCGGAGGGGCATTCGTCCATGATGTGATCTGGACCAAGCAGATCCTGTTCGGAGTCGGAGTCAGGGTCGTTGTGGCCAGATGTTGAGTCATCTTGACTAAACGGGAACGGAGTGCGGCCGGAGAAGTCAGGGAGGGGATCCAAGGGAAAAGGGTCCGCGCTGGGATTGATAGCCGAGAGTCCAGGGAATGAGGATTCATCAAAGTACGCGTGCTTTGTTTCAAAGATCTTTTTGTCATCTTTGCGGACAATCCTGTACGCTGAGTAATTGTTGCTGTAGCCGATCATGATCCCTTCCCACGATATGGGATCGAATTTAGAGCCCCGGAGCTGATTTGGTTTGACTACCCAAGCCTTGCAACCGAAGGGTCGAAAGAAGGCCATGTTGGGAGTTTTTCCAAACAGGAGCTCGATCGGAGAGGTCTTGCTTTTTCCAACGGAAGGTAGGCAGTTGGTGGTGGCCATGGCAGTCAACACCGCCTCGCCCCACCACTCTTTGGCCAGTTTGGATTGAACCATCATGCAACGGGCCATGTTGATGATGGTTTTGTTGGCCCGTTCCGCAAAGCCGTTGTGCTGAGGCAGTGTATGGCGGGGAGACGTTGTGAGAGATACCAG